AAGTTGTCAAAAAGTCGGCAAACTTCAGATATAATGATGTAAGAGGAAGAGAATATTAATGTTCTGTATCATTCATAAATAGATGAAAAAAGCATGTACTGTGGTGTATGCTTTTTTTCCAAAAACTGGCTTAAAAGTTGTCTCAAATTTTTGATACATATTGATGTCATTATGCTGTGTAGAAAGTTTGAGCTGATTCCAGCTTAAATTTTTTAAGTTAGGTCCATTTTAAAAAATTTTCCAAAATCTGAAAAATACCTAAGGCTATAGCCCATGTTTTTTCCTAAAAATGGCCAAAAAATTACCCCCGATTTTTATTCCATTTTCTGATACATATCAATGTCCTTATGCTATGTAGAAAGTTTGAGCTGGCCATTTTAAAAAAATTGCCAAAATTTGAAAAATACTCAAGGCTATAAACCCATGTTTTTTCTGAAAAATGGCCAAAAAATTACACCCAATTTTTATTACATTTTAAAATACACATTGATGTCCTTATGCTATGTAGAAAGTTTGAGCCGATTCCAACTTAAATTTTTCAAGTTATGGCCATTAAAAAAATTTTGCCAAAATCTGAAAAATACCCAAGGCAGCCCATACTTTTTTTTTTAATGGTCAAAAAGTAATTCCCAATTTTTATTACATTTTCTGATACATATTAATGCTCTTATCCTATGTAGAAAATTTGAGCCAATTCCGACTTAAATTTTCAAAGTTACGGCCATTTTAAGAAAATTGCCAAAATCTGAAAAATACCCTGTACTATAGCCCATGCTTTTTTCTGAAAAATGGCCAAAAAACCACCCCCAATTTTTATTACATTTTCTGATACACATTGATATCCTAATGCTGCGTAGCAAGTTTGAGCTCATTCTGATAACAGATTTCTGAATTATGAGCTTCACACAGTTACTGTACATGTATTTCTATTTTTAGCTCATTGGTTCACATCTATGGTGGTCAGGATCTATTCGTGAATGAGTATTATTACTATCACTTGACTATGATGTTACAAGAGAAGTAATACCCCAATAATATTATCAATGCTCATAATAATTATCTCTCTTTTACTAATTTCTTTTTTCTATTTCTTGTAACTCCAATAGCTACGGAACCTTGAGTTATTAAAGCTAAGATTTGGAGAGAGTAACCTCCATTATTGTGAAGTGATGATTAAAGACCCTACATTACTAGGTCATGATGAGTGGGTGGGTCATCAAACCTTATCGCTATAAAGAAAAACTACTCACACAAGTCACATATCTTGTACAGGTGGGTGTGGTTGAGGGTGGAGTCAAACATGACATACATTGAATAGGTTGATATGGGAGGAGTACCAGCAACACTGGTTAATATTGTGTCAAGACGTCAGCCATTAGCAGTTGCATAGATTTATGCGATTATTTAGAAACAACTAGTTTAAATTTTAACAATCTATTAATATACCAACAATAACCAGCAGTGACTAATGTGATATAAAGTTACAAAATTAGGAGAGAGAGAAAGAGTGTACTGAAGTGTGTGTGTGTGTGTGTGAAAGAGAGAAAGGGAAAAGATAGAGCGATGAAAATTCATAAAATGTAGTACGTTTATTGTAGTTTTATTGAGTGACTGCTTCAATACTTTGCTATACATTTGTTGCCATATTCAGCAACATAAATATTTCCATCCTTATCTAGTGCTAAGTCCACTGGATCAGATAATCCTGAGACTAATTTGACTTGTTTCCTCTCGGGACTCAATACATGAAGATAAGAGTTACCACTATTATGAACCGATACAATGATATATCCTTCATCATCAATAGCAATACCACGAGAATAAGTA